GGTAATGTTATTGCATAAATTAGTGTACGTAATACAGCCAGTAAACAACATTGAAAAGAATAAATGTGATGGGAAAGACCATTCTGGACCACTTGTCTATCAAGTTAACATCAGTCAAATCAGGGATTTTGACTTTGATCTGGGATGCCCTCCTTCTTAAGTGTCCTTTCTTATGAAGCCTGTGCCTATCCAGAGCACTCCTACTGTAGAGGTCTCTGATGGAAGTGGCTCTTCTGTACTGCAGGTTGGCACTGTCGTATGTGTACGTGGTGGTGCGGATGTCACGGAGGCTCGTGGACACGTCTGAGCAGCTGATGTCATTTCGTATTTCAAGTGGGTTAAGAAGCATGCTTCCATGGGGATCAACCTGTGTCAAGGAAGGAATGTGAATTAGACAAGTTCCTCAGTCAGCCTAAGGTGTTTCCCAGGCTGACAGGTACCTTCTGGTTCTACTGCTGAGGTGCTTCTGGGGCTGTAGTGACAGTTGTTTCTTGTACAGCATTGGCAAAGGTGAAAAGATACTGAACACACTTTCCTGACTAGTGTGACATTAGCTATTAAGCATCTAAGTACCTTCCATCCTGACCTGGTTCCTTGGACTGGGACCTTTTAATTCAGCTAGCTATCTCATCCCCTGTAAAGTAAGACTTTTCTAATTTTATCTTTGAGTTAGATCGTGGTCTTTACGAAATACTGATTTTTCATGTCTGGTGACCTGAAGCTTTCAAATACTAAAGGTGAAAATTAAATGTTGCTGTCTCTTCCCATTTTATAGTTCTATACAGTTTTAGTGCTGTAGGTTAGTTTCAAAACCTGCTGTGTAACAATGGGTTCATTGTATGAAGAGCATGTAGGTACATGTGCATTTTATCAGTTATTGTAAAATGCTTCTGATGATAATGAATTTTGGAAGTTTGCTATACTACAGAGATGGAAATCAGTACTTGCAACAGCACACCATTAACTTGCCCATATGCAGATAGAATAATGCATTTTACCCAATAAAATCTTATATTCAGGTGCATTTTTGTATGTCGGTACCAGAAGCAGTTGTTTCAAATATTCTTATCACTCTATTTGTGCTGTTAGTCAGTCGGGGCACTGTTTTAGATGCCTAAGCAAAGGACTGAAAACTGCAACCAGTCTATACATGTCCAGTACAAACAATGATCTGTGTATAGAAATAATATTTGAATATCATTGCATTTTTCACATATGAATGTAATTAACCATTAATAGCTACATTACTACGAAGTGTTTACTTTTCACTCATCTTTAGTTTTCTCTTGTTTGTAGTAAAACCTCTTTTAGAGAGTGTCTTGTGTCTTTCCAGAATGACTCCTGATTTCTCCAATAGAGACTTCCTAGATGTTTCAAATTCCCAGATATTTAAATGTCCACTGTAGCTCATATGAGGGAAATACACATTAGGACACAGACCTTTTAAATGAAATTTCAAAGACTTTGACTTGAGTATTAAAACTGTTTGTTATAAACTGTGGTGTTGGACCTACACTAAGTATATTACAGTCTATGCCATGGCTGTCTGGCAATGCCTTTATACCAAGGAAAAAGTAATTCCTGACAATGTATAGTCTTGTGAAGCACAAGTGATATGGAATACTTTGTTCACACTGAGCTTTAAATTTATAGTAAGACATAGCAGAGCTAGGAAATTATATAATAATCTACAGCAGGTCTGAAGTATGTTCAAGAAAAAACTCCAAGCAGAGCACATGGGGAAATCCAGTCTTTGGGGATTACTGCAGAGGAAAGCTGGAAGCCAGAGAAGCCTTGGTTCCACCTGGCAGCATGGAAGTTGTTCCTTCCCATTACCGGAAGGAGAAAATGTTGCGTGATGACTGCTGGTGTATTTACACTGTGCCAAACTGAGCACTTACTAACTGAAAACAAAGAAATGAAGGGGCTATTTGTACAAAAGCCACACAGGAGAACTGTGAGACAAAAATAAAAGGTCTTCTAAATGGGGTAATAAATCACCACAGATAGAAAATGCACTAGTCTGGTTTAGCAATTGGTTCTGTTTATGTTGAGATAAACATTCAGTGGAGACATCCCTTTTCCCACCACTGTTTTGGTAGGAAAAGCTTGCATATTCTGGGTTAGAGAGGCCAGCTGGTCATAAATCAGCATTGTGTTTGCAATCTTTACTTGAGAAAAAAATATATTCAAATTTAAGCAGAAGGAAGATCTAAGCTAGGGTTTCCTACTCTCCAGAGGATTGCCATAACTATGGAACTGTTCATTACTCATGTTCTGACATTTTGTGTGGAAAAAGCAACAATCTCCATGTAAAATGAGATATTTTTTAATTCTCAGAAGTTTTGATAGGTTTTCAGTATTTTCCCATTTTTTTCCCCCAGCTCTTTGAGCTGTCTTTGATTATATAACCTAATGTTTAATCTAATTGACTTTAGTGATATAATAGTAGTAACAGCAGTGCAAGCATCATTAAACTGTTATTATGGCTTCTCTTTTGTGAAGACAACTCATAACTGCCTATAATCTAAATGGATGTTTCTTAAACTAATATGCCCTGACAGTTTATTATAAGCCAAGCAGTGTATGAATTCCCACTTTAAGTCTTACAAATGAACCTGATATATTTTAGAATGAGTTTTATTTAAATCATTTTAGGCAGGATGATTTGTATACATCATGAAGCAATCCAGTCTGTGAATTGCAGTCATTGTGATTCAGAGCAAAGAGCCTTACACTGATCTTGAATAAAGTAGCCAGGAAAAATATAAAGGCTCTTCTTATGTACCTGGGTCAAATTCTCTGCTTCTGCAACATGAAACTGGACTAATAGTTAATTTCCCGCATTATTAAAAACCCTTTCAGAATTTATTGAGGTTCACTCCAAAATATTCTTAAAACTTGTGCAGCTGAGGTTTTGTTACTGAAGCATAGGAATTCTAATGGTTCCCATGTCTGGAATCTGGAAAAAGTACAAATTGTTAAGGGATACACAAAAGAGATTTGTTACTAGTTTTTTTTATGTTAACACTAGAATGAAATAACAGCAAATATGCACACAGTAAAAGCTGTAAATTTGATGTCTTAAAATCTTTCTGCCCTTACTTAATATGAGGTTACCTGGGTCTTGCTGTTGGTTCTGTGCATCAGAAACAGCCAGTAGGCTTTAACTCATTCCTCTCCATGTCACAGTGATGAGGCTCTTTCCCCACATCAGAAATGTACTGCAGTTCTACACAGTCTTTGACACATTTGTGTTGGATGGCATGTCAAAAAAATGGGAATGAAAGAGACAAGACTCTGCCTACTCATTTTCTGGCCCCCTAGCTGGTTGTCTGCTTGGGAGTAGGGTGTCTCAGTCCTGCTTATAGGTAGGAAAGATGGGTCACATCAAATCCAGAATATTTTTTCCTTACTCAGGTACAATGCGTTTATTCTTTCAAATATCACCTTATTGTTCTTTAACTGGGATGCCCTAAATTTTATTACATGAACTGACCATTGCTCAGATGAAAACAGGATTTCTTGCTTAACAGATATTCTGAGAATAAATGTGGGTAGATGTGAACGTATGTATATATTTTGCCTTGTTTGTACAATGCATAAATTTTGCCTCAAATTTTAGAAAGCTGAAGAATTGGTTTTTGCTTTTTTTTTTTCCTGTCTGTTGAACATACCATGAAGAATATGTGAGGAGGATGTTAAAGCATCTAAAGCTGAAATGCTAGTCATCTGCTATAATTATCATAGTTTAAATATTCTTCAGATGCTTTTATGTGGTGATGCTTCCTGTAATGATGTTTGTAGCCCTATTGAGTTTGTAGATTTTTAATTCTTCATTTGCAGTGAACCTACCTAAAGCCTAAATCAGCACAGATATTAATCTTCATCAGTGATGGAAAAGCTTTGATGTATGCTCAGGAAAAATCATAAAAAGTAAAAATAATCTGGCTTGCATGTTTACTTAGAAAATGCAATTCCTGATTAGGAGCATCAAATTATATTGTAAGTGTAGAATAATTAAAGTAATAAAATAACCCTAACCCAATAGTCTCGTGTTGACCATATAAAAAGTGGTCAGTCCTGTGTTGACCATATAAAAAGTAGTCAGTCAGCTTTAGGGTAAAATCATGTTGGCATTCCTTGACAAGAGGATGAGCCCCAAATACTTAGTGCTGTCTAGAATGGGTTTTTACCTGCCTACTTTCTACTTTTTTAATGTTTACTAGTGGGAGATAAAAGGTTAAGAACTTTTCTTTAGTCTCAATACAAAAACATCCTTTCTCTCTTTTAATATGAAAGATTCAGGGCCATGTTACTCATACAAGCTGTCTTGTTGGAACAAATGCAGTAGTGTTATCACAATCTGATCTGCAAAGAAACAGGTTATGTTCAGCAGAGGTGTACTTATTCAGGTGTGGATTTACTTGAAGGTTGAGCTGGCTGTGTGATTATATGCTCATTCCTTTTTCTCCTTTCAATAGGAGAAAACAGTAGTAGCCACCATACTGGAAGATTGCATATTTTCCTTGGAGCCAGTGGCTGGTCTCTGCTTTCCATTCCAGGTGTTTTGTGGTTCACGAAAGGTCGAAAGGAAGGTGTGATGCTCTGCAGAACTAGGGAAGAAGACACCATGCCTTGTGCTGCCATTTATGAACCCCTTGATGGCTCAGTCCCTTTCCTACTGGCATTATGATTGCATCCTCTCTCTTTCTCATGCTGAAGAGACATCTTCTGTGTAATGATTATTCACATTGTAATTGTCTGGGGAAACAGAAGTAGTTATATACATAGACTATCAAAATGTTTTCTTGCTGGCTAAGTTTCCTCCATGGTACCTAGCTTTGAAAAATGGACAAGGAGATATAACAGTCTTTATGCTTTATTCAGAGAAACAGCTTGTTTACTACAAACTAATTTTTTTCTGCATATTAAAAATTAAAATGGCATAAATTATGAAACCGGAGAGGCTTTATTTCCACCTTCTTCAGACTGTAGAGCAAGAACAGCCACATGTGAAACAGCAGTATGGTTTCCTTTTCCACCTGGGCTTCTCTATACTGTGTTAATATCACAGTTAGTTTGCTGAGTGTTGCTCACATCTCAGGCTTTTGTAATCTGACGAAGGAATTTGAATTCTTTTAGTCATGTATGTCAGATGGCAACAAGAAATATCTTCACCTGGCACAAGGAGGAGAAGCACCGTTACATATCTTCTATTGCTTAGAGGTCCCTGAAAGGATAAGTAGTATGGGTCAATAGTAAAAGGAAAAAGTTACCCTATAGCTGTATATACTTACAGCTGTACTTCCTTTGTGCTCAAAAAAATCTTTCCCGTGTTCCAGTAGCAGTATCATGCCACCAGTGGAAATTCTCAGAACATGAAGGCAAGGGGCTGGGAGCTGGCTTCATTAGAGGTCTCATAACCTTACCATGTCCCACTGCTCTGGTCATGTGCATTCTTCCTGCTGAAGATAGAAATACAGCTGTTGGACATCTGCACTTCCATGCTAAGTAAAATGAATGCTGACTGGGTCCCACATCAATGTTATCTCCAGTGGGCTAGCAAAATCCATTGATATCCATTCACATGTGTGTGTCTATGTGTATATATATATATATGTGTATCTAAAATCACAAACTTGCACTGCACAGGCAAAAAGCAGTCAGTTCACCTAAAACATTCACAGCCTCAGAATGGAATTTCAGTCTGAAGTGTGAACTCTTACAAATCCTGTTACAAAGCGTGTATGCCTTCGGTTTTCTGTCAGAAAAATGCTGGTGAGTGAATGTGGTGCTCTGAAAAATTAAAGTGTGGTTGTAAATACTTTCCAACCCGTTCTGAGTACTGGTCTCAGCATAATCTTCGTCAGTGTAGCATTTAGACAGAAGCTTTTAGTCACGAGTTAAGGCTTTTCTTTTAGTTAAAAGAAGTCTCCAAATGTGTAGGAAAAAGAGCTTACCTGCATCTTATCCTTTACACTTTCTCACCCTTAGTTCTGTGCACTAGGGCTTCAGGTAGCCAAGGCTGACCTCTGAAGAAGTGTTGCTTCCCTCTTCATCATCAATCCTTGCTGTGCTTCTTCTCACCTAGGCTGGGTTATCTCCAGAGCTGTTGAGGTGGCTGGTTAGAGTTTGCGTGTTTTGCTGTTTTTTCTGCTTCCTTAACTTCCACAGAAACGGATAGATAGTGTCTGCACACAACAACCCGTAACAGGGTGGCTTATCTCCTCTGCTCTGTGGAGGACAATACTCTGTGGGACCTTGGAGACTGCTTCAAGCCTGAACGGAATTCATGCACCCACTGTAATAAAGGATCTCCTACACACTGGGACAGGAGGCGAATGCAGGAAAGGGCTTTTAATGGGCTCATGAGTTCAGTGAGACTGAGGACATGATGACTCAGTTAATGATGCTTGGTTGTAATTGTGTGGTTGCTGGATCACAAAGAACACAACCCTAGAATTAATAAAATATCAGAGTTTCTGAAATGCACTTCCTGGCATGTATGTGAAATTGCAAACATCCATCAAGCTGAAGTCTTACCTTTAGTCAGGGTTTTATGTGTCAGTCTCGTTCTTCAAGCTGAACACAAGGTTCGATATAGTTTTGTCCAAATGTTATTGCCTCAGGCCACAACAATAGAGGGGTTTATAGGACAGCCTGGGTAAGATCTCATTCATACTTGGATGTAATGTATTGTAAGAAAAGCAGAGAACAGAAGCAAATTTGGGGCTCATTAGGGGATGTATTTTCCTCTGAGTCAGACTGGGCAAAATACACCTGAGGGAAGTGTTTATTTCTGAAAAACTGGGAAAAAAACGGAACAATTTTATAGAAGTTTGCAAGTGCTCAGTAATGTACTGGTAAATTTTCCTAGTTAAAAAAGTGTCCATAATATTACTTCCTGGAGTTTGTCTGGCTTGCTTTTTAATTGGAGGTAGTTGTGGCCTGCTTGAATTTAGCCTGAGGGAAAAATCCTGACATCTGTGAAAACTGTTAGAACCTAGCAGCATCGTCCTTATGTTCCTGGAAGCTCAGTGGTGTGGGCTTCAATCAAGACTCACTGAAGCAACAGCATCTGTCTTTGTTTTCTATTTTTTGGTGAAGTTTCTGTGTGTAAATAGGAACTATATAATAAACATTTCTTCTATACCACCTTCTACAGCAAAGATGTATACAGTTGCAATTGTAAATATTTAACTTCTTGTATTTCTTCCATGCTGCAAAGAAATGCTTGTTCTGAATATTCGTTTGCATTTTCTGAAGTTTCTTACCCTGTTTTCAGTTGAAGATGGAATAAACCATATGTTGGTGTAATCTCCTTAAAAAGTTGTTTTTCCCTAGACAATCTTAAATGCTTTCACACACATGTTTAAATTACATCTATCTCTACTATCATATACATCAACATTGTCACAGCAGAAATAATGTTTGAAAAATTAGCTTAAACATTTTACCTGGCCTCTACTTGTTTCCAGTCTGCTCTTCTTGCCTATAGCATGTCCTGCTCTCCTTCCTGCGTATTTTTGACGTTGAGGTCCTTTCCCAAAGAATATGTAGTTTACAAAGGCATATTCCAGCAAGGCCAGGAACACAAACACAAAGCACCCCATCAGGTAAATATCTATTGCCTTTACGTAGGGAATCTTTGGCAAGGTCTCCCTGAGGTGGGTGCTGATGGTGGTCATGGTCAGCACAGTTGTGATTCCTGTGAAAAGAGGAAAAAGACATTGACTAACAAGAATGGGAAGTGAGCATGAAAGGTGTAATGGCAGCATTGCCCCCTGCTGTGCACTTCTCATGCTCTTCTATGGCTTATGTGATCAGATTCTAAACAGCCAAGGGAATGTGTTTTGCAAGACTGGAAATGAAGATATCCTTTCACGCCTGCTAATATCACCTTCTTTGGATTTCCATGCAGTAAAGAGTGAATGAAATAGCCTTCAAAAACCCAAGCTATCTTGGTACATCTTGCCTTAATTTTTACAATAAATGTGCTAGGGAATGTCATATTAGCTGACCTGAATAGCAAAGAGTTGATCGCTGTTCTGTCTATGTGAGGAAATGCTTCTGACTTTACTTAAAGCAATAGCCCTGCTTGACCCCATAGGGTGGCTTGCATTGCTCTGGGGAACTTGAATAAGTATCTAGCCTTTGACTGCAAACAGAGGATTGAAAGGAGAAAGGGAAGCTTTATAATAAAGTGATGGTCTTTGATGAAGAGAAAGTGATGCATATGCTTGTATCAAAGCAGCTCTTCCTGTTAAAGAGGTGCTTTCAAGTAAAGTAAATAATTTCCATATCACTGTGTTATCCACCATTGCATGATTCTTTCTACATCATTAGTGCATCTATATAATAGCTGTAGGCACAGGTGTAATGAGTTGAATTTACAGAGAGGTGGAAATAGAGGTGGGACAAAATAGCTTTCTGGCATTATCATTTGAAAAGCTTCCTTACAGTGCAGATAATGACAGGTCCTTTCCAACCCTAACTATTCTATGATTCTATGATTTTATGATTCTAAGATCTTGGTTATTAAGGAAACTTGGAAGAAACATGGTACGGGAAAAAAACAACTATGCAGGTAAACCAGGCTTATTTGTTGTAAGATGGTGTATCTCCACTCACTTCAGTAGGATCTTGTCTATTCATTCCAGCCACATATTTGGCCTGAAAGGATGTTTTCTAACATCAATGAAATGTTGATGCATCACGGCATAAATACCTGAATTAGACCTTTATGCTTCAGTTTGAAAGCAAGATACTTTTGGCCTGATCTGAAGACCATCATGGCAATTGGAAATCAGTCAGGATCCCATCCTAACTGCAGAGCAAGAACTTCAGATGTAGGCAAGGTGACACCTTCCTGACAATGAAGAGCCCTGTGCTGCATGTCTAAGATCACAATTAATGCTGCTGCTATCAGCTGTCTGGATTTGGTGCTACTGTATTCAAAGACAAAGTGAATCTATGTAGTTCAGTGATTTTGAAATTACCTAGGGCAACTCTGGCTGCAGAGGCATCATAATTGATCCAAAAAGACACCCACGAAAGAATTGTAATGAGTGTGGAAGGCATATAGGTTTGCAAAATGAAGTATCCAATGTTCCTTTTAAGCCGGAAGCTCAGTGATAATCGAGGATATGCTCCTGAAAGAAAGAAGTCATGTAATGACTAGTGCCTAAGATAGTTAGACACTGATATTTCTGGGCTGGGGAAGAGGGGGAAGCTTTTTTAACTAGCCAGTTCTCACCTGTTGTAAATTCCACTCTCTTTGATACCATCTTGTAATCAATGATAGAAAATTGTGGGAGTTCAATGTTATCAACTCCTGTTACTGCTGACTCTCCTCCATTCCAGTAAAATTCAATATCATCAGTAGTGTATCCATCTGCAACAGAGGCATGATTGGATTATTGATTCTTCTTTTTGTTTTATTACTTGGCTTAAATAGTTGTGGTTAAAGTTGGAAGGAGCTGCTGTTAATCAGGAATTCAGCCTCCTGTTTTGTGACATTTCTGTTGTACAGAAACCACATAGCCTCCTCTGTACTCAGGGGAAGCTTCTAGGTGTGGAAAAGGAGAAGACAGAAAACAAGGACAGAATATAAGATTAAAAGTCAATTTTTAGGTAGCTCTAATACTACTACTTTTCATTCAGGCTTGAGTTGCTCAGTTTGCCAACAAACTGGTAGAACATCAAAACTTTTAAAGTCTCTAGGAGGAGCTCTGACAGTAAAACTAGGTTCAGTTCCCAGCTTTGCATTTGATTTCCTATGAACACTGTGACAAAATACAGAGTTTGGAGCCAGTGGAGACAACGATGATTCTAGAAGAACTCAGGTGCCTGTACTAATACCTGACAATGTCTGTCAGAGCTGTAGATGTCCCTTTGATATTCATGCGACATTTTATTTTTTAATTAGACTGTGGCATCACTGATCTTCTGTTATTACAGAACTATTTCTTACTGACTTCAAAACTAGCACCTTTCTTTTTCCTTTTATCAGTGACATTTATAATTTTATTGTCATATATCATAATTATCATGTAATTAAAAATTATTTTCCCATTCTACCACTGGCCGTGTTAACATTAGTGTTACCACTTTTGAAAACTTAGATTAAACTCAAGAATGAATGAGTTTCAAAAAAACCACCTCACAACTGATAATGCTTTTGAACTAATATTTAAACTGATTCAAATATATTGCATTTTACTACCTTCTCCAGTTATCTACCAAATGAGAGAACAGCATCTTATCTATTTTTAGACTTTTCCTTCAGGTGTTAGATTTATTCAAGTTTAAATCGTATAACACAGATCAAATAACTTGTTTGAACCCAAAAGCTTTAAAAAACTTGGCGGTAGTTTTGCCAGCTGAACCAACCATCAGAAGCTTCTATAGAGTTAAGAACTTATTCTTTCATATACACCAATAATGCTCTTTCTAGGAAGGGAAATGAGTCTCGAGGTGTCTTTGCCTGTGGTAATGCCTGGTAACAACCCAACTCTGGAAGGCTGACCACATGCAGAACAGGTACATGGTTTTCCTGGTGACAATCAGAGAAGCTTTTAAAACTTGCTGCCAGGCTCAAGGGACTGCTTGGAAAGTCTACAGTTATTGAACAGCTATCCTTTGATGCAAACACACAGTGATGGGCTGCACAAGTTTAACTGTTCACATAGCTTATTTGTGAGCTGCTCAGTGCCATGGTTTGCTAACTATCAGAATTGCTCCTAAAACCACAGTAGCCTGTTTAATATGGATCACTACTGTTTGCTTAAAACTGTGCTTCCCGATACGTATGCTGGTTTGTTTGAAATGAACCATCCCAAGGCTGTCACACAGGGCTCTCTGCATGGCTGGTTTTCATTCCTTCCAGGTAGAAGCCAAAAGCTTTTCACTGCAAAAGGTCAAGGTATCTGTTTGGCAGTGGGATTTCAGCAGCTGCTTTAAAGGCATCATGGACAAACCACAGGGGCCAACATGTAGGGTGTAATGCAGAATGATCGAAGGAAGAATGAAGACTGCTAAGGCTGTTTAAAGGGACAAGAGTAAGATTGTCAGGGAAGTGTTAACTTCATTTTTTTCAAATCTGTATTATAAAACATCTCTCTTGAATCTTTTCTCTTTCTAAAAAGATAGATCAAACCATAGGAAGTGGTAAACTGTCATACGGAAATGGTATTGATTATGTGTAGGCACACAGATAATCTCTACGTGAGGTAACACTCATGGCTATTTTATCTTTAGAATAACAAAGGTGCAGCACTAACTAGATGCTGCACAGATACTTGCTGTGTTGGCTTGCAGATACTGACTTTATTTGCTGTCTCTTCAGGCAGCCCCTGCCAGCCACTCTGCAGTCCCTCTGCCTTCTTGATGAAAGAGGGAGTGGTTTGGGCACCTTATTGCAGATAAAATTCCCTTCCCCAAAGGTGAATAATTGTAGATTTAGTTGTTAAAACCACAGTGATACCAGATAAACACCTGGGATATCACAGGGCAGATTTCAGAGGGAAAACAGGCACAACTTCCTGCAGAACGATTGCAGCATGTGATTGGTGCAGTGTGTGGTCATGCTGGGCCCTCACAAAAGCTAATTATGGGAGTTTTGTAATGTAGGCAAATGTACTTTTCACTAGTCTTGGAAAAGCTTCTATGACTTTGGCTACTAAATGAAAAACAGAGCTACAAGGTTCTAAAGTCACTTGATCAAAAGCAATGGATGATTTCAGCTGATGACAAGCTATCATGGCTGGCAGGCCATGCCTTTAACCTTTACAAGTTTAAAAAAAAACTTCCAAATGCAACAGAAATAGAACTAGCGTGAGCTACCATTCTTTCTAATATGCTGATTTGTTATTTGAATTTACCCCAGTTAAAGCTGGGGGGAAATGGTGAGGAAGGGATAGTGATGTTTTTCAATCAATCAGGAGCATTCACTTTATTAGCTCTCTTTTTAGAAGAGTAATTGAGATGGAATATCTTCCTGTGATTTTGTACAGAGAGAACTTCAGTACAATCACGAGTTCCTTGACAGTCATTGTAATAACTCTGCCAGACACTAACAAGGTGTAAACTCTCCCCAGGCAGTCCGTTTCCTGCTGGCATATCATTTTTGTTGTGTGATGCCCTCCGTTATGTGCTTTGCACATTGCTGTAGTTGTGTGTGAGAGGTGTTGGTCTCACATCTGACGGTGACTTACAGGTGCAGGGCTTGGAGGCCCTCCTGTTCCAAAGGTGTTGACATTGCCTTTTGCTTTCCAAACTAGCACACTTGAGAGGAAGGCAGTGGCTGCAATTTAAAGACTGGGACTGATCTCAGCTCTGCACAGAGTTAGCAGAGGGCAGATCACTCCTATTTGAGGTGAACAGTGACTTCAAGTGAGGAGTGACAGTGATATAAATGAAGACGCATTCAGGGTGGAGCGGCACTAGCTTCTGGCGAGCAGGCAATGATAAACCTGTTTCTGGCAGCACATGCCTTAACATATACAATGGAAGAAAGCTATTTCAGTGATAGAGAAAGTGAGTCTGGTCTGTGCAGTGGCCAGTGCTAATATGCTGATTCGTTGCCTGGACTTATGTGCACTGACCAGGTATTCCCTCAACAGCTTTTTTTCCATGTGATCCGTTTCCATCTACATACATATCCATGTCACTGGTTTGAGGGAATGTTTTTGCTGTTGTGACAGAGGTATCAGTACTTGCAGCTGGGTGGTGATGTCTGAACACAGATTTCACAGAAGTCGGATATTGGGAACCTGAAATACTCCAATAATGTTCATAACAGCTGTCAGGAATGGTCACAACTTCAGCTGCGAAGTCTAGAATGATTTCCGCTAATAACATTTAACTGATTTAACAACGTGAGTTTATGTGATTCAGTTATCCCCGTTCCCTGAAAACAGCCTCTCCGAGCGGGGGCCGAGCTCCGGCGCCGCTCCCAAGGACCACACCGGCGGCTCCGAGGGAGCTCGGGGAGAGGCGCTAGACCTCCCCAGCCCCGCCTGTCACTGTCCTCACCCTCGACGGCCACCGGGGGGCCCCCGCGCTCCGCCGCCGGACCTGGCCCGGGTGCTGCCCGCCCCCCTTTTGGGGCCTCGGCGCGGGGCTCTCCCGGCCCTACACGTGCCACCTCGACGGGTGGGGGGTCCGCCTCCCGCAGAGCCTGGGCAGGACAGCGACTAGCACCTGTTAGCGGAGAGCCGGGGTTCGAGGTGGTGGGAGCGGAGCCCCTCGGTGTAAGCGGCAGTTTAATAGCTGGGCTTCATGCAGAGGGTGCATTGGGATTATTAAATGCTCAATACTTCTGGAGCAAACGTGGCCTGGTTGCTGGGCTGGCATCCCTAGCAGGCTAGCTCACTTTAATAAAAAAAAATTTCCCAGGATTTCTGCATGTGATTTTGTTGGCCTAAATAATAAGTAATTTATTATTATTATTATTATTTATTAATTATAATAATAATATATAATAATAATGGTCCCATGAAAATTATTTGATCTGTTTAAGCCATTGTTTGCTTGGTATATTATTTTCCATCTTCAGAACCCTGGGCTGTGGCCAGCGATATGAGGTTCAATGAGGCAAAGTGCTGGGTCCTGCATTTGGGCCCCAACAACCCCATACAGCGCTCCAGGCTTGAGAAGAGCGGCTGGAAAGCTGCTCAGCAGAGAAGGACCTGGGGGTGCTGATTGACGGCTGCTGAACATGAGCCAACTTGTGCCCAGGCAGCCAAGAAGGCCAATGGCATGCTGGCCTGTATCAGCAATAGCGTGGCCAGCAGGGCCAGGGCAGTGATCATCCCCCTGTACTGGGCACCGGTGAGGCCATGTCTTGAATCCTGTGTTCAGTTCTGGGCCTCTCCCTATAAGAGGGACATTGAGGGGCTAGAGCGGGTCCAGAAAAGGGCAAGGGAGCTGTTGAAGGGTGTGGAGCACAAGCCCGGTAAGGAACAGCTGAGGAAACTGGGGTTGTTTACTCTGGAGAAAAGAAAGCTCAGGGGGGACCTTACCGCTCTCTACAACTACCTGACAGGAGGTTGTAGTGAGGTGGAGTTGGTCTCTTCTCCCAAGTAACAAGCAATAGCACAGCAGAAAATGGCCTCAAGCTGCACCGGGGGGGGTAGATTGGACATTAGGGAAAATTTCTTCACCAGAGGGTGATCAGGTATTGGAAGAGGCTGCCCAGGGAAGTGGTGGAATCACCATCCCTGAAAGTGTTAAGAAACTGTGTAGATAAGGCCCTCAGTGATACGGTCTTGTGGTGGTCTTGGCAGTCCTGGAGTAAAAAAGCACTTGATCTTAAAGGTCTTTTCCAACCTAGTTGATTCTATGATTCTAAAAGAAGTTTAATTGCACAGCATGAGATATTAAACTTCTGAG